TAATTTTTTCATTCTAGTTGTAGATTTATATATTGGAAGAATCTCTTATATAAGGTAAATGACTTTGTACCATTTTTTTCATTTTTATGCTATTAGTTTGTATTATATTATATGATGGTTAATTTGAAATATTATTTTTATTTTTGTTTCTTGTGTTTTTGTAGAGGATATGTCTTAAGACAATATATGGTAGGTGATTATATTTTGATTTTCTTAGAGTTTCTTTGTGTGATTTAAAGATATTTTTCCGTTTTTCCTTGATTTTTTAATTACTTTATTTATTTATTTATTGTAGGTGGAAGAATGGATATACCATTTTAACTCTGTTTTCTTCTTTTTTATTTGTAAATTTTTCTTTCTTTTTTTTTTATATAGATGTAAATTTTTATAGATATATTAGCTTATGTAATTGATGACTAATTTTTGTGTAAATTTATCAATATTATTATTAATGTATATTAATTTTTAATTAAATTTTTTTTTAATCTGACAAAAGTATTAGCATCAACTATTTAGTTGACTCTCATCCTGACGCAATTCTAGCAATATCAAAACTTGGGGTTCATCTAGTAACATATACTTGCGTGAACACATGCGTTAACTTGACCTTGCACAATTGTTTTGAATATCAATGTCAACCTCTTTCGTATTGATATAAATGTATTTGTGATACGTTTTTCAATGTTAGAATTAGCATTTACATAGCTGATGCATTTATTTTTCTACTTGTATCAATTTTCCTTTTATCTGTTTCCATATTTTCTCACGCAAATGGGGTTACATTCTTGTAGTGCAGCTGTCATGTGGTTGTGTATTTGCAACCTTGGTTCCTCCTCCAAAATTCTCCATGCCACAAATAGACAAAAAGGTAAAATTAATCTTAAAACAGATTCTTATACAATTAAGTAAAAAAGAGAAAAGAAAGGAAAGAATAGCAAAAATATGAACAAACAATATTCATTTCTATGTCTATACAATTTCAAGTCTGTAAGGAACGAACTCAAGGACCAAACTGTAACAAATAAATTCGCTTCGCCCTAGCTAGGTATATTGTGTCTGACAAAACAGAATCAAAACCACCAAGAGACTCTGAATCTGTAAATCACCTGCAGCAGCCACACTACCAAACAGGGGAAGAAAAATATCATGCATCTTCTACTCTATGCTCAAACCAACAGTAGAACTAACTGGTTATCACAGCAGCAGATACTGAATTAATGTCAGGTTTCTTGTTAATCAAGAAAAGGAATCTTGTTCATCATGGCAAAGTTCCTTCCTGAGTTTACGGGAGAAAAGCCGGCAAGCATCCATGCTTAGATCAATGGCGGCGGAGAGTGCAATGAAGAGGGCGGCATCCGCCATGCACGTTACATGCTGAACTCCGACCTCTACCACCGGCTTGCTTGCCTTGCCTTCACCTTCAACAGTGGAACCCATCACAAACCCTTTAACTGGAGACCTCAATGCCACCACGGAATCTTTCGTTATCCTACTGTCGATGCAGAATTGCCCTCCCTTTTTGACACTCATTGTAGCTTCCGCAATGGGGATGCCGCTGGTGGGGCCACTGTCGGTGACGAGCTCGAACTTGTAGCCCAACCCGTCAACGGGTCCTCGCTCACGCCATGCTTCCAGGCGACCCCATGGTTTCCAACTGCTGACGGAGAACCCATTAGGGCGGAGGATCAGCCATGCCCCAGGGTTGGACCGCGAAACGCGGTCCGAACCAGGAGAAGGGACGAATGGAGTGATCATGGAAGCAGCAGCAACGGGGGAGCCGGAGAGATCATATATCATTATCATCCATCCCTTCCTCTCCCTCCCCTGTTTTTCCTTCTCCACTGAAAAGGTTCTCATTATGCATCCTCTGTTCTTGGTAAAATCCGATGGCATAGTTCTGCAAATTCCACATTACCATTATAATTACAAATCAAATTAATTAAAAAAAATTAAAAAAGGCATAAATATTAAACTTCCAGGAAACTCTTGCACATGGAAAAGAATCAAAGGAGGCTATCTTTGACAGTTTGAAAGATCTAGAGTTGTCTGCTTGTCCAAACAAAGTATTATTTTGTTGTCCACTCGAATTTAAGCTAAGGATTAAATTATTCCACAGACCATTTCCTAGAATAATCCAATGTGTTGACCAGTCATGACAGTTAGAACATGAAATTTTACTAAGAATATTTTGTTTTATATATACGTATATATCTAATAATAAATTATATAAAAGATAATAACTCTTCTTGTTTTTATAAATTACTTCTCATCTCTCCTCACTCAAGATTTTAATATAAAATTTCTATATTAAAATTTCAAGCCCTTTAACTAATTAAACCACCCGTAAAGTACCAAGAGTATTTAGCCATGTTACCAACTTGAATTTTTTTTTCTTTTTTTATTTTTTTTGAATGAAAGAAAATTAATACATACTAAGTAAATGGGAATTGAGAAAAGACATTTATGAAACTCAACATGCAACTCAATCGAACCGAGGCTAACCATGTCGTGAACAGAGTGCCAAGTCACACTAATGAAGGATCAAAGCTATTAGGTTGAAGCCTAAGAATCAAATTTATTTATTATTTTATTTATTTATTTTTTTCCACATAACTTTAAATGTCTTTACGAATCCGAGTTGATTTTGATACCTAGAAAGGATAAGGAACATGAATTAATGAGAATGAAAGGAACCGACGAGACCGGTGGTGGAGGGCCATCATGGGTAATGGCATTATTATGGCATGTTATGTTACTGGCAAAGGAAGAAATGGACAAAAACCCCACAAGCCTATTATATCATAAAAAGCCTGTTATATCAGAGACAACCATCCAAATACATAGACCTCAAATTAATGAGACAGAGACTATGATTTCCCTCAAAGAAATATAACAGAACCAATTATGAACCGTGATCGACACTGCCTAACCACCACCATCCTGTTGCATTTTTACTCATCCTCTAATAAAATACTAAAGTGCACCATAGTTATATTTAACAAAGAAAAATATATTTTACAGTTAAGACCACACATCTTAAACTGTTAAATAAAAATAATTTTTTAACGTGGGCCTAAAAGCAAACTGAAAAATAAGCGACTTAAATAAAAAAAAAAAATACTAACCGGGATCTTGAACGATCGGCGCTGAATTTACAGCTAAACACAGGCTGTCTGATATTCCCCTGAATCTGGAACACTACAGGGCTGCATTCTGGTTCGCCGCCGAATTGAAATACGAACCGGGGGTCTGGTTCTGTTCGGACCACGAGGTGAAGCCGGGCGGAAGGCTTATCCTGTTCCCTGCCGAGCTTCTTCCAACCATTCTGGAACACACAAGCCTTGGACTGAGCCCCACCCAAGTCCACACTCACCTGAACCTTTCCAATCAATTTAGCACTGCTGACCCAACAAGTGCGGCCCATGCGGCCGGTATAGACCTTGAGGTGGAGGGTCACGGGTTTTCCAGAGAGACGGCGGAGAGTGATGGCGTCGAGATGGAATCCGGCGGTGGAGGTGGCAGTATCCGGAGGAGAGTCGCTAGGGGTCGCGCAGAGAGGCAGTAGTGCCGTTTGAGATGGGAAATTCTTGAATCTGATGATGCAGAAACAGGGAGTGGTTGATGGGTAGACGCCGGAACCGGCCGGTTTGGTGGCAATCGGAAGTTTGAGAGCCAGAGACTCAACGATCAAGCGGACAAACGGGCATGGATCCATTATATTTTGTTAGGCTGCTGAATCTTTCGATGGATTGAACTACCCCTCCTCTTCGTGGGTAGTGTGGTTTTTAGAAGAAAGAGTGAAGCTCGAAATGACCGTCAGCAAAGAGCATCGGAAACATCTACGGCGACTGCAATGAAAGTCTGGTATCCCGTGGTTAATGGCTTCAGTTTATCCTTTTCTTTAGAGCTTCTTCTGTTATAGAGTCTTTGAGTGTGGTGATCTGGTGGGTCGGGTGGGTTTACCAAATTGTTTTTCTTTCTCGCGGGAGAATGAGAATTGATTATATCGAGAAATTGAGGGACTCTTTTGCCACATTTTTTCCAGATACTTTGACCTACTTCCAATTTTATCCGTAGCCAAAACGTTGAAAAAAAAAATAAAGATAAAAGTTTAATTAAACAAATAATTTATGAAAAAAATTTACTATAATTTAATAAAAAATAATGTGTCAATTGAATGAGTTGATCCTTTTTGACATAAAAAGCAATGACTTGATTAAGTCTTTCACAATTTGGCACATGATTTTTTTTAAAAAAAATTATTTACTTAGGCATTGTTCAAGTGAGTTCTTGATTTTTGATTTTTTTTAATATTTTTATTTTCATATTCTCTAACTAATATCATATTTAAATTAAATAAGATAAATATTAACTATTTATAATAAAATTTAATTTTTAAATATTATGGTAGTTGCTAAATAAAAAGTCTTAAATTACAAACTCACAACTTAATTAAACGGAACTTATAAATCTTAAAATTAATTTTAGAGAGTGTTTAATACAAGGTTGGATTTGGTAGTGGGTAGTTTAAAAAATAAGAATATTTATATTATAAATTATAATGATTATTAGTTTTCATGTGTTAGTTATATAAATTATTAATTTATACACTTTTGTGTTTTAAATAGAGATAGATCTAATCATATCTCTAAAATTAATTAATTTAGAGTTATATAAAATTTTACATATTTTATTTAACTCACACACCTATAACTAATGCAAAAATAAGAACCTCATAATTAAAATCTTTATATGACAAAAATACAATAAACATGTCTACTCAAATATATCTCACCATAATAGCATTAAGTTTTTTTTTGCTATACACTCTTTAAATATCATATTGTATGATTTTATTATTACTAAAAGTTTTTTTTATATTCTATTATTAATGAAAGTTACTCCTTCATCAAATCATTTTCATAAGTTTTTTAGTGGACAAATATATACAAGATTATTGCATCTGGAGGGAGCATGAAGGCGAGAAATTGGCGATAAAAAAGAAGTGGGTAATTTATCAGGAGAAAGAGATGGAGGGAAGTGGTGGGGTCAAGGACAGCTGGAATATGGCTGTCATCACGTTGTTAAAATGGCAATGGCTGCTTAGTTGGACTTGGAGTGAGAATTCTCAAATATCAGCAACAAGAGGTTGTTGACGTGGCATAGGTTGGCGCTTCCCCTGCTCCGAATCGCTAGTTTCCTCGGACGGCTGATTCAGTCCTTGACATCAGGATGATATTCCCATTTTTTCCTTTTTTCTTTTTTAATAGGTTCTTTTACAACAATAATAGGTAAATTTTTAGTTTTAATACTTTATATAATATTTTATTAAAAAATTATTATTATTAAATTTAAATTAAAAATAAAAACACTTATTATGTATTTAGGTTGAGAGGAATAAAAAAGGAGAAAAGAAAATTTTTTATTAATTAAATTATAATATTTTAAAATATTATAATTTAATTAATTAAAAAAATTTTCCTTTCATTTACTCCTTTCTATTTCTCTTAATTCAAATATATTATTAATTTATTAAGATCTACAACTTGAAGTTTTCTTTATTAAGATTTAAATTTAAAAATAATAATTTTTCAATAAAAGTATTACCACATGTATTGAATTAAAAAGTGTATTAATTATTTTGCATTCTTTTAATATTTGAATTAACAGGTTGAAATGTACTCCCTCCTTTTTTTTTCTCCTAAACTAAAATTTTCAGGATAATTTATATATTCATTTTTAATATTTAAAAAATATATATATAAAGAGATTTTTGATAATTGAGTAATTAATTGAAGTGAATAAATAACATATTACATAATTAAAGTAAAAAAATATTTGTCTATTTGAAAAAATAAAAAATAGATAATAAATTTAAGATAAATTTAATGTCAAAACACAATAATTATTTTGAGGTAAAAAGGCATTATAAATTTAAATAAAAATATAAAATTTAATATTTATTTAAGTATCAATATTATGTAGTTAAATTTAATTATGTAAATAGTTGACAAATTGAATGATAATTTTAATTTTTTAATATAAATTTATGATTCTAAAATTCCATTTATTACATTCAAGAAAAATCCTTTCTTTTATTTTATGATCTTGCATTATTTTTTGGGGCTAAAATTAGAGTATCCTGCATTTTTGCAATTTTGCCAGAAACCAATTTGGTCGTGCTGATACCTCTCAATCCGAAAATGTCCTAATTTGCTAAACTTGTAAATTTTGAAGTTGATTTCCGTAAAGTATAAATATAATATTTTAACGGCAGTTTAACCGGTGCCTTACACGTCCGTTAAGATGCCGATATAGAACCACTACATCAGCAGCAACAACAACATGGCAGTTCATGTCAAGTACGTCAGTACAAGAATGTAGTTATAAAAGCGTTAACATTTTAAGCATTAGTAATGAAATATTAATGTAAAAATATGTTATATGTGTCAATATTATTTATGTGAAAAAAAAAAAATTTTCGTAGGAAATTTGTTTAGTATCAACTAAAAAATATTAGTGTAAATATTGTTAATGCAAATAGGGTCAAAAGTCTAATAAAGCATAGTCTATTGTGATCAATATTTCAAAAAAATTATAAAAACAATAAAAAGTAATGAGATGAATAATATTTTATTGATATAATACTATTTCATTGTAGGCTATATACTTTAGACATATTTTAGTGGAGTGAGGGTCAATAATCTTTACCAATGCATCTAAATTTGTGTTAATACAAATTATTGGTGTTGCCTTCAAAACTAGATTTGAGATTTCTTGCCTTGCAATTTTTGAAACTTTTGTTTATTTCTCCTTCTTTCTTTTTCATGAAAGCAACGAAGGACCACTGTTTATCTCAAATTTCAATTACATTAATTAAAATTTAATCTCACAAAGGAGACAAAAAGGGAAGAATCATTTCTTTAAAAAATTTTTTAATTTTTTTCTCAATTTACATGTTATATATGCCAAATCTAACTATCTATCTTTTTTTTTTTTGAAATTATCGATCCAAGTATTTAATCTTTAAAAAAGAGACAAAAGAATAAGAAGATCATTCTTTTAAAAGGTTTTTAATTTTTTTACCAAATTTGCATCTTACACATATTAGATCTAACTCTCTGTTTTTTTTTTTTTTTTTTGAAATTGTAAATCTAAGTATTTAGTCTCTATAAAACAAACAAAAGAGTAAAATAAATCATTTCTTTAAAAGTTTTTAAATTTTTTTTGCAAACCTAAATGTTTAATATCCTAGATCTGACTTCTCTTCTTTTTCTTCTTCCTTTTTAAATTTAAGATCAGGCATTTGATATTCGAAACTCCTAGAAGGTATATTTTGTCTTATAAAAATTTTTAAGTTAAATGTTAATTTTGGTTCCTTAACTTCAAAATTTTGCATAATTTTCATCTCAAAATTTCTTATATACTTTTTTGGTCCTTCAATTATGAAATTGTACTTTTTTAGTAATTCTATTAGTTAATATGTTGGATTTGTCTATATATACATTTTTTTTGTCTCTAAAATGAAAAATTGAGGGACATAAAATATGCATATATTATAAGTTGAGAGATAAAAACTGTGTATATTTAGATAGATATAACGGATTAATTGATAGAATGACTGAAAAAATGCATTTTTTAATATTTAGGACCAAGTGTGTGCATAAAAATTTGAGGGACGAAAATTGAAAAATTGTAAAGTTGAGGTCCAAAGTTGTTATTTTACCAATATTTGGTCCAAAATTGCCACAAAAAGTATATGATGTTCCTCAACCAACCCCGCCAAATTATCTGTTTAATACTTATTATGCTACATCTATTGGCCTTACTACACTGCATCCACCACAGGGATATGATGACATGGTTGGCAATACCTATAGGTTTGATAGTGGCAATTTTCACAGGTTTGGTGTTGGTAGTGCTCCAAACCTTTTTGCACCACATGAAACCCAACCTAATGGTTCATCAGGCATATCAGAAACTTCGTCAGCAACTTAGCAAAAAACTAGGTTTGATAGATTTCTACATTCAGATTGTTTTGAGTTTGATAATGATGATGATGATGATGATGTGACTAAAGAGTAGATACTTTATGTTGATCCCATGTTAATGAGGATATTGAGTTTAATATTGGATTTGTTACATTGTTTTTGTTGTATTTTACATATTTCTAAACTTAATAGTACTTAAATATCAATTGAAATTATTATTTTTATCTATATATACTTATATTAGGTTGAATGGATTGAAATAGGTTTAAAATATCAAGTGTTTGTACATAGATAAATATGCAAATAAGGTTTAGTTTTTTATTTATTTGGATGAAATATGTTATATTGCTAGAATGATTAATATACTGATACATAGGTTATAAGTCTTTTTTATGAGGTGTTTCGTACTTAGAGAAGCAGATTTTTTTATGAGGTTTTTCATAAATCATATAGTTGGATTTTTCTTAGGTTTTTAAGTCAACAACTTAACATTGATACTGACATATACGAAATTTTCAAAAATTTTTAAAGCCCATCGAGTCTTCCACCCACTTGTGATTGAATTATTGTCTATGTCAGCAATATTGAAGCAAATCATATTGGTTGATGCAAATGTTTCTATATATATATATATCAACCATGGTAGTTCTCTTATCATTACGTTATTTCTCTTCTTCAGATTCATTTCTCTTTTCTTTCTATTCTCTTCTCTCATTTTCTTAGTTTCTTACTATTCTTATTTTTCATAGACTAAATTCATTCTCATGAAATTTTTGTCACAATCCAATGGTGTGTTCTCTAACCCATAAATTCTTCTATTTTATTATAATTTTTTTAATATTTTGTATAATTCTACAAATTTAGAGTTTTAATTTATACTTAAATTAATTTTTTTCATTCTAGTTATAGGTTTATATATTGGAAGAATCTCTTATATAAGGTAAATAACATTGTGCCATTTTTTTTTTCATTTTTATGCTATTAGTTTGTATTATATTATATGATGGTTACTTTGAAATATTATTTTTATTTTTGTTTCTTGTGTTTTTGTAAGGGAGATGTCCTACGACAATATATGTTATGTGATTATACTTTAATTTTCTTGTAGTTTCTTTGTGTGATTTAAAGATATTTTTCATTTTTTCTAAATTTTCTAATTACTTATTACTTTATTTATTTTTTGTAGGTGGAGGAATAAAAATACCATTTTAACTTCATTTTCTTCTTTTTCATTTGTAAATTTTTCTCTTTTTTTTTTCTTTTTTTATGGATGTAAAATTTTTTATAGAGATATTGACTTGTGTAATTGATAACTAATTTTTGCATAAAATTATCAATATTATTAATGTATATTAATTTTTATTTTTTTTTTAATTTGACAAAAGTATTAGTGTCAACCAGTTAGTTAACTCCCATTCTGATGCAATACTAATAATATCGAAACTTGGGGTTGACCCAATAACATATACTTGTGTGAACATATGCATCGACTTGAACATATGCATCGACTTGAACTTATGCAATTGTTTTGGATATCAGCCTCTTTCGCGTTGATACAAATGTATTTGTGATGCGTTTTTCAATGTCAAAATCAGTATCCACATAGCTAGCGCATTTGTTTTTCTAGTTGTGTCAATTTTCCTTCTATCTATGTCCATATTTTCTCACGCAAATGAGGTTACATTTTTGTAGTGTGTAATGCTTTGATTTAAGCCCAAAAAATAAAAATTACTCAACCAAAAAAAAGGGATGGCATTTTCAATACATATTTTTAAAATGCAGTTTAGGTTATATTTATTATATTTAATTTGTATAAGAGTTATAAAAATTGATTTTATTTTTAACAACAATGTAAAGTAAATCATTTTAATTAGACAATTAATAAAACTAAAATTAACTTTTAATTTTTTTATAAATTAAAAGTAAAAATATATAATAATTTCACAATTAAATTGTGCAATAGGGAGCACAAGTTACCTTCTGTCTCTGCATCTTTGTTCTTCTTCCTCTTCATTTTCTCTCATTCCTCCTCCCTCTTTCTTGTTCATTCTAGTTCTCGAACTTCATCTTTTTTTCTCCTTTTTTATCATTTGATGTAAATACAATGGAGAAATCATTAGGATTTTGAATGAGAGAAACCAATCTAGGTTCCACTCCAAAGGGCAGTTTCTTATAGAACTCGATTTAAGTTTTTTTGGAGAATTCAATCTAGATTTCTCATTGAAAAGAACTCAATTTGGGAAAAAAAAATCAAATTCTATGACTTCTTCATTGGGAAAGAACCCGATTTGAGTTATTTAGAGTGACAGTGTATTATATTCAAGGGCAGATATGTAATTTACTTGTATATACATACTATAAATATTGTAACCCTACTTTGTTAATGTGATGATAATCATTCACGGCTTCATAGTATCAAAGCCACCATCCAACACTACGTCTTTAATCTAAGATTTTCTTTTTTGTCTTCTTCCTTTGTTCTTATTCCTACTCTCTATTATGGCTTCATCTTCATCTGAAAAAATATCTTCTTTGTTTTCTTCCATTCTTATTTCTTCTAGTCCTTCGTCAAATACTACCACTAATTTCCCAATTATACCATCTCTTTCTACTATCGGAACTCCTATTAGGCTTAAGATTATAAAAGGCAAAGCTTGATATTATTGCTGTCTTGTAATCAATATATATACAGAAATATTGACACTAACTGATATGGAAACTTAACTGATATGGACATAATATATATGATACAGTACATGAATGCAGATTGACTAAATCCTAGAATCATGGTCCCATTTACTGCAGATCACGTTGCCATTTACTGCAGATCACGTCGGAGATACACCTTCCTTAACATGCCCCCGCAAGATGGAGGTGCCATCAGCAACACCAATCTTGGACCGAAGACTGGAAAAACGAGTAGTAGACAGAGCCTTTGTAAGAACATCAACTAGCTGGTCGTGAGAAGAAATGTGAGATACATGAAGAAGTTTCTGATCAACCAGATCTCGAACAAAGTGTAAATCCATGGCGATGTGTTTCATACAAGAGTGGAGAACAGGATTAAGACTCAAATAAGTGGCACCAACATTATCACAAAACAGAGCAGGAGAGCCAAGACCAGAAATGCCTAGCTCCTGAAGAAGATTTCGAACCCAGACCAGTTCAGAAGCAGCAGCGGCTAAGGCACGATATTCAGCCTCAGTGGAGCTCCGAGTGACAGCCTTCTGCCTGGTGGCACGCCAAGAAATGGGATTGGAGCCAAGGAATACCAGATAACCAGTGGTACTGACACAAGTAGACGGATCACCAGCCTAGTCGGCATCGGAGTAGGCATGCAGAGATAGAGCGCGCTGAGGGCGTAATAATAAGCCATGAAAACTTGTTCCACGCAGGTAGCGAAGAACACGTTTTGCAGCCTGCCAATGAGCATCCATGGGCTTATGCATAAACTGAGAGAGCTTGTTGACTGCAAAACAGAGGTCTGGACGAGTGAGGGCCAGATATTGCAAGGAGCCAAGAAGTCATCGATAAACAGAGCCATTAGAAAGAGGCGAACCATAATTGAGATGCAGGGGAGGAGAGATAGCAAGAGGGGTAGTCACGGGTTTGGCCTCATGCATATTGTACTGGTGGAGCAGATTAATAATATACTGATGCTGAGATAAGAGAAGACCAGCAGATGTGGGAATGGCCTCAACTCCAAGGAAGAAGCTAAGAGGCCCCAAATCTTTCAAGGAGAAACGAGCACCCATGACCTGAATAAAAGACTGAACTGCAGAGGGATCACTACCTGTAATGATAATATCATCAACATAGACAAGGAAATAAATCCAAGTAGATCCATGGTGATAAATAAAAAGAGAAGCATCCGACTGAGACTGAGAAAAGCCCTGAGACAAAACAAAGTTCTTAAGCTCAATGAACCACGCCCGGGGAGCCTGTTTTAAGCCATAGATAGACTTGCGTAATTGGCACACATAATCAGTGAAACGAGGATCAACAAAGCCTGCTGGTTGCTGCATGACCAATTGTTCCGCAAGATGACCATGTAAGAAGGCATTATTGACATCCAACTGACGGATAATCCATCCACGACCAACTGCAATTGATAAGACAGTGCGAATAGTAGTAGGCTTAATGACAGGACTGAAGGTGTTAGAAAAATCAAACCCAGGACGTTGATGAAAGCCTTTGGCAACCAAGCGAGCCTTATATCGCTCAATACTACCATCCTTTGCTCGTTTTAAACGAAACACCCATTTGCAGCCAATTAAATGATGATCAGGAGAAGGAGGAACAAGTTCCCACGTACCTTGACGCACAAGGGCACTGAATTCTTCAGACATGGCCTATCTCCAATTGGGATTTTTGAGAGCTTGAGTCACACAAGTTGGTGCAGTGATAGGTGCAGGGCATTTGGACAGTGCTTGGAAAAGGATTTTGGGTTTAAAAATGTTATTCAAGGAGCGGGTGCGTATTTGGTGTAACCGGGTAGGAGGATGAGGTCGAGTCATACTACTCGAGGCCTTGCCTAGGGAAGGGGAGAGTGTGTGAGCTGTGGCCGAGGATGAGGAAGAGGGACTGGGACTAGATTGAGCTTGGAAAGTGGGGCTGGGAGAACTAGACAAGGCTGGGGTTGGGGATGGGGCTGGGAATGGGGCTGGGAATGGGGGGGATGGTGAAGGAGCAGCGACAAGAACAGACACCACGTGAGCCATTGATTCATGGGGTGCACTAGCAGGAGAGTCAAGTGGCGACGGCAAGGTGCTTGGGTTAGGGGTAGGCGGAGAGGTAGTTGGAGTCGCAGTAACAGGTAGGAAATCAGAGGGTAGAAGAGAAACAGGAGATTGAGTTTTGTGGGGAAAGGTAGACTCATCAAAAACAACATGTCGGGAAAAAAACAATTTTTTGGAACTTAAATCCAAGCATTTATAACCCAAGTTTTCTATTGAGTATCCCAAAAATACACAAGGACGAGAACGATATTGTAACTTGTTGGAATTATAAGGACGAAGCCAAGGATAACATAAGCACCCAAAAACACGTAGTTTTCTAAAGTTGGGACGAACATGAAACAAAGTTTCAAAGGGAGAAATTTTTGAAATTGATGAGGGGAGTCTGTTAAGTAAATAAATCGCAGTTTGAAAGGCATGAGTCCAAAACTTAGGTGAAAGAGAGGCACCATGAAGCAGTGCAAGGCCGGTCTCAACGACAAGACGGTTGCGTCGTTCACTAATGCCATTGAGTTCGAGTGTATAAGGAGGGGTGGTAAAATGAGAAATTCTTTTTTGAGAGAGGAAGTTACGAAGGGCAACATATTCGCCCCCGCCATTAGTATGGAAATTTTTGATTTTGCACCCAAATTGATTTTCAACTAGATCTTTAAATCGTGGGAAAATAAGGGACACATCATATTTCTGTTTGATGGGATAAAGCCATACATATCGACTGGAAAGATCAATAAATAAAACAAAATAATTAAACCCATTAACAGAGGTAACAGGCGCAGGGCCCCACACATCAAAAAAAATATTTGCAAGTGGGGAATGACTTGTAATGGAAGAATTTGAAAAGGGAAGTTTATGACTTTTGGAGCAAGCACAAGAGTCACATAATGAAAAAGAAGTTTTATTAGATAAAGGTAAATTGGAAACATTAATAATTTTTTTTAGGGTCTTTGCAGAGGGATGACCTAAACATAAATGCCAAGTTGCCAAAGAAGTACGCTCTCCTACTAGTGCTGTTGGTTTAGAGCTAATTTTTCTTGGTATTTGATAAATCCCATGAATGTTTGTCCCTTGGAGTAGTGTCTTGTTCGTGCAACAGTCCTTCACCAAAAAGAAATTAGCATGAAATTCAACATAAACATTGGCATGTTTACACAATTGAGAAACATAAATTAAGTTACGAGAGGCTGAAGGAACACATAAAACATTGCGCAAAGGTAAAGAGGATTGAGTGGTAAATAGTGTGGAGTGTCCCACATGTGTGATTTTCAAACCTGTTCCATCACCAATATGAAGTTCATCAGGACCATTGTATTCAGAATGAAGTGCCAAGTTAGCCAAGTCAGTGGTTACATGATTGTTGGCACCAGAATCCAAGAGGCAATCATCATAAAAAGCCGCAGAAGAAGAGGCAAAATTGGCCATAGGCCTAAGAGCCTACACACGGTAGTTGGGGCAATTTCGAGCAAAATGGCCTAGACGACTGCACAGTTGGCAACTAGAATTAAGGGGCCAAGTTGAGTGCTTGGGGCCAAAAGTACGACGTCGGTGTTGAGTTCCACGACTAGAGAAGTTTGGCCCATTCCGATTACCACGAAATACTTGTTGAGGGTGGCGGCCAAGAGGGAAATTAGAGTTGCCTGCACTTAATGAAGGAGAAGAATCAGTATTGGAATTTAAAGAAGCAGCGGCATAGTGAGCAGTCACCGGTGTGATCTCAGGGTGGTTTTCTTCTCGTTTGAGACTTTCTTCATGAGCTACCAATCTGTCATGCAAGTCATCAAAGGAAAGAGAGGAATCTCGTGCTCGAAGAAAGGCTGCAATCTCCCGAAACTCAGGGCCAAGACCATTAAGAATGTAAACTGTAAGATCATCATCGTTGAGTGGACGATCAATGGTTCCCAATTCATCAGCAACAGTTTTGAGATCTCTTAAATAGACAGCAACAGAGCAGCCATCACGTCTCATGTTTTGGAGGCGTTCCTTCAAGGTAATCACCCGAGTGCGGGAACGATTAGCATAGAGCCTTGCTAACGTTTCCCATGCTTGTTGCGCTGTGGCAGCAGCAGCAGCGATATAGGGGGTGATGCTCTCCGAGATAGAAGTGATAAGAGCATGCCGTAAGAGTTGATCTTGATGAGCCCACAAGCTATACTCTGGTGCGGTTGCAACTGGACAGGGAGTCCTACCATCGAGATAGCCATCAAGTTCATAACCTGCAAGCAAAGAAGTAAATTGAGCCCTCCATGACATATAGTTGGTGGGCGTTAGCTTCACAGGGAATGCGGCTGAATTGAAAGATAGTGGATTCTTAGTGAGACCAGGATTGAGCATTGTTGTAGTGGAGTTTGGGGAGTTTTTGGATGCAGCAGAGTTGGGAGACTCATCGTGGGTGGCCATGATCAAGGGCTCGTGAGAGCAAGAATGGCTCTAATACCACTATTAGGCTTAAGATTATAAAAGGCAAAGCTTGATATTATTGCTGTCTTGTAATCAATATATATACAGAAATATTGACACTAACTGATATGGAAACTTAACTGATATGGACATAATATATATGATACAGTACATGAATGCAGATTAACTAAATCCTAGAATAATGGTGCCATTTACTGCAGATCACGTTGCCATTTACTGCAGATCACATCGGAGATACACCTTCCTTAACAACTCCCACCTTTTCAAGCTCTAATACTATATATCCTACCCATCCTCATACTACCTCTATTTTCTCACAACCTGTTTTCACTATGTCCAATATCAAAACTTTTGTCCCTGAGACACTGATACATGAAAATTATGCTATTTGGAAAGAATTGATGATTCCTATCTTTGAGAGCAAGGGAGTGTATGGGCATATTGATGGCATTGATCCTTGTCCACCAACTACAAGTCCAAATTTTGAAGCTTGGATACACATTGATTTTTAGATCTTGTCCTAGATTCATGCTACTATTTCTATTGAGGTATTATAGATGATAATTCAATCGGGTAAGACTCTTTCAACTAAGGAAGCTTGGGATGCTATTCAAATTTCTTATCAAAATCAATTAGCAGCACGAAAGATGTATGTGAAACAAGAATTTATTTCTCTTCATAAACAACCTTGACAGTAAATGATTAGTTATTTGCAATATGTCAAGAAAATGGCTGATAAAATGCATGGTGTTGGAGATCGAATCTTTGACTGATAAAGAAATTGTTACGCAAGTTATTGGTGGATTGGATGCTGAATATAATATCTCCAAAAGGACCATTCCACAAAGGTTTCCTTTTCCTTCATTTTTAGAACTTCAGTCTTTACTATTGACAAAAGAAATCCTTCAACAATATTGCTCTTGTGAATCCAAGTGCTCCACAAGCATTACAAGTCTTGGCTACATCTTCGAATATGGGGTCTTCCTGCTGAAATTTATTATTTTGGTACTACTTCTCGATTTGATTTTTCTAGGTATAGTAGAGGATTTAATCGTGAATCAAACCATGGTGGTCATGGCTTTCGTCGTGGCAGAAGCAATGGTCGTGGCTCTTTCAGCAATGGTGGTCAAAGTTCTTATGGTGCAAAAGGATCTTCATCGAATTTTGGAAATTCTTCTGGTTTACTTGGTAATCCTGGACGTGGATCTTTTTTTGGTGGTGGGAATTCTCTCATTAGTGCATCCACTAGTCAGCATCCCTTAAATTGGCAACCTTTTGGACATGGAATTTCTCTACTACCATTGTTACCCACTCCACATATGCCACAAGGTTTGATTTTTCAATTATGTGGTCAAGCCACTCATGAAGCTTGTGAATGCCCTTTGTTGAATGGGACAAATCTTGCCTCTACATCACAGAATTCTCCAACAACTTTCACTACCACAGCATTTCCCACAAACCCAGATAGTGCTTGGCACTTTGACTTCAGTGCAAATACTCATGTTTCTAGCACAACTGGTACTCTCTTAACTTCCTCACCTTATTCTAGTTCTGATGTCATTCAAGTTGGTAATGGTCATTTATTGCTTGTTACTCATGTTGGTCATTTTGTTTTTTTCTAAGTCTGGTCATTCTTTTCAACTGAATAATGTTCTTGTTTCCTCATCTCTTTGTAAAAATTTAAGTTCAGTTTGTCAGTTTACAAAAGATAATAATTGTAGTATTGACTTTAACTCTTTTGGTTTCTTTATCAAGGACATCCAAATAAAGACTATCCTACTTCGTTACAATAGTCCAAAGGGATTGTATCCACTGTCTAGCATGTCTTCAAGTTCTCCAACCATTCTTTCGATTGCTCTTGTGTCTCCTGATATCTGGCATCTCCATCTTGGTCATCCTAGTTCCAATTCAGTTCATCGACTTGTTCAGCATGGTTCTATTTCCTCAAATAATAGAGTTTCTAGTTCAACCTTTTGTCGTACATGTTAGTTGGGCAAGCATACTCGCCTCCCATTTACTGACTCTTGTTCTATTACTTCTACTTCTTTTTATTTAGTACATTTTGATGTTTGGACCTCACCTGTTGAGTCTTTTACTAGTATTTGTTATTGTCTTCTGTTTCTAGATGACTATAATCATTATTTGTGTCCATTACATTCTAAATCCTAAGTTTCTCAGAGCTTCCTTAAGTTTTCTGCCTATGTTTCTACTCAATTTGGTGCTAAATTTAAAGCTTTTCAACATGATAATGGCTATGAATTTGATAGTTTAGATTTTGCCACTTATTTTCAAACACATGGCATCCATCTTTGCTCTTCATGTCCCTCAACTCCATAACAAAATGGGAAAGCTGAGAAAATGAATCGAACAATTCTCAATATGGTTTGATCTTTATTATTTCAAGCAAATTTGCTTGGTACCTTTTGGGTGGAAGCACTATATGTTGCTGCTTACCTAATTAATATTTTACCTTGTCCTAGTCTACATTTCTACACCTCATGAGACATTGTTTGGTGTGGTGCCCATTTATGCCCATTTATGCTCATTTATGTGTGTTTGGATGTGCTTGCTATCCTAACCTTTCTTCTACTGTAGTCTATAAATTGGCACCTCGTTCCTCCGTATGCACTTTTTTGGGATATCCAAAAAAAAAAAAGACATAGTCCCTCCCATTAGAAGTTAGGTGTTCTTTTTTCTCTTTTTTTTTTTTACTTTTTATGTGCAACTTTAAAGCTGATTTTTTAAGAAATGGCAAGTTTCTATTCTGATAGGCGCAAAATCTGAACAATTTTAACCCAGGGATCTCTAGGTAGGATATCATCACACTCTTCCTAACTAACTCTTGTATTATTGCCTGATTCTTCACCACCTTACCTTTCTTTTTCTTTTTTTTTTCTCTCATCCTTTGCCTCTCCTAACTTAACCCATGACCTTTACTTTAAGCATTTTGGAACTAATGCTTATCCAGAAGGTGAATGAAAAGTAACATATGACTGAAAATTAAAAAATATTTTTTATACATAGTTTTCATTGAGTTCTTTTACTTAGTAGAAAATATTGTTTAATTATAATTTATTTATTATATAAAACAACCCATAGACTTGTGCCAAAAAAATGCAAACAAACAAAATAAATAATTTTGAACAGAAAGTAAATATTGGTATCATTACGGATGATCCATCAATAATGTTTGCTGATCATAGTTTTCCTTTTTTTTCTTTTTACAATAAAAGGTTATTTTCCTTAACACACCCAACTACATCCCATGTGATTCGATTGATTAGTTTATTTGATAACAAATTAATTATTATTTATATATTATGTTAAATTTTTATTTAAAATTCTTATTCAAATTAAAAAAATAAATAAATTAGGGTAACTACATTTGAATGGGGGTGGTATATAATTTTTTTTTTTTTGGACAGGTTAACAATTTGGGGATGAGGGGATTTGAATCCCAATGCTTGGATTAGGGGGATGCACTTTACTAATCGGTTTATAATCGTTAGACCATGAGGCCTAGGTGCGGGGTGATATATAATTTTGTATATTCTCTTATTTTGAATATATAAATATTTGTCAAGAAAGAGAAGGGAAGAATATGGTCATAATCATCAATCCCACTGAATTGAAATTTAATGTTGATGAGTTCTAAGTAAATAGGTAATCACATTTAACAAATTATTGGCTTTTGCAAGAAAATGTAAATTTAACAAATATTCCTCTAATAAAAATAATCAAAAGTATTTTTATAAAATCCAACTGTAATAATATAATTATAATATTATATAAAATTGTAAATTTATTAAAAAAAAGTGAAAATCAAAATATCATGATACTTAAAAATGTTAGGACTCTATATGAAATTATTTAAATATTTTTAATGAATTTTTTTATATGTTAATTCATTAGAGTGTTTAAATAATTTTATAAAAAGTTATGACATTTTAATTGTTAGGGCATCAATGTTTTTTACAATCACAACTTACAATTATAATGTGTAATTAAATTAATAAATATATATAATATTATAA